TTATAGAGGAAAGGTATGTTTATATATTGTAATTCATTAGGAGAGAAAATTGCCAGCTGTGTCATAAAATGACATTTCCCTTGAAATTTCAGCAAAATTAAGCTTTACAAGTAATGATCCATAATACAGGGCGATATTAATCCGCAAGAGTAATATGTTTATTTACTAATAGAGTTATCGACTGTCAAGCTTTATACAATCTCCCCTTGCTCTGACAAATCAAACGGTATTAAGTTTCTCTATTTTCTGATATATTCCTGTAAAATATGACAGAATTTAATGGGCTATTTTCTCGATTCATCACTGCTTATACGAAAAGATTTCTGAATATGACGAGGACCCGCAGATCATTTTAACAATGACTGGGGACCCTAACAATAGAGCTGTAAAATTTGTGAGGAACACCGGTGATTGCAAGTCATTATTCGTAGTATCAATTTTCCTTCTATGATTGATGCCAGGAATATCCCTCGTCTTATTAAGTTTCCTGTTGAACACATTACTATTAAAATCTTGTTTATTACCCTGTTAACTCGCACGCCCTTCGTTTTGCTAAAAGGCAAACTCGCGTCATGCATTATAAATGTTAAACAAGAACTTCATTGATTCTACTTTGCCGTTTGTCACATCGAACGTGAAATGCGCGTGCGGAAACGTACGTGCACTGAATAATGAAATAATCATTGATGAGAAAAACTCAGAATAAAAGCTTTGGAAAATATTTCATTTTTCTGCATCAAAGTTATCTCTCTCTCATACTTCTGAAGTGTTCTTTTATGTCTATGTTTAAATAGCTTCATCCATTGTGTGACATGCTTTTTTCTTATTGAGAAACTTAAATCTATTACATTTATTTTAAAATTTGTATCCTTCAAGCCAGATTGAGGTTTGTTTTAGTTTTTTTCTCGTTCTTATATGGTACTTAGAAACTTGCATTTACCATTATATTTCTTTCCTTTTTGTTTTTAGTGTGCTCAAGTTGGTAAAGAGGTCCAAAGTTGCATGGTGCAGCAAAAATGAAGATTAAATGTTTTGGATGTCACAAACCCAGTTTCATATTTTTAAAAGATGAAGGGGAGAAAACAAATCAAATATATGTAAATGATTTATTAGGAATATCTTCAGCCAGGAATGGTTACTCTTTAATATATGAATATAATATACGAAACTTGAAATTGAATTCATTTCAGGCAACAATTTAACTTATGCGTCTCAGTGTGATTCAATGTTCAAGTTCTTAGAAACGGTCTTATACAAAGCTGATATTTGTACCCGATTAAAGCATCTTTATCATTACATTTTTAAAGAAAAAGATTTTTTCTTTAACAAAGCCTTAGGTACCAATGTTGATTGGCATGATATAAAGTTAGAAGTGATTTGAAGTGTTTTGCAATGAAAGGAAACGCTTATATACGCACTATGTTTTTTTTTTTAAATGATTGAAGTAAATAGAAGAAACTAAAGCACTTTATAAGTATAAAGTTCATGCACCTTTTCTTTTAAAAGACTGGATAACTATGATTTTGATTTTTCATCCTAAATGTATTTGTTGATCAATTTTCATTTAGAAAATGCATATAGAGGAGGTGTTTTACACTGTATTCACATTTCCTGAAAATTAATTTGAGGTAGGCTAATTTTCCCTTTATAAAAATGATTAACTTTTCAGATAATGTTTGAAGAAATGCCGTGGGTATATACACATTAATTTGAGAATTCAGAGCCATTTTAGGAGCGTGTTTAATAATTCAGTACCTGATTTCTAGAACCTGAGGATCGGACTTCCTTAAAGCAATGTGAGCTGCAACTTTGATGTAAAATTTTTCTGCCGCAAAATCCGTATTAACTGTTTCTAAGGTGGATAAAAAGAAAATTTTAAATTATAAACTTCTGTTGTTCATACTTATAACAGAAGAACTATTTATATGCTTTTAATGATGCAAAATTACACTATTGTCGTCCTATACAATATTGTTTTCTTATATAATACTAAATATTTGATATACAGAGAGCTCTGTCTTTTAATACAATTTCATACTTTATTTTAGTATCATTAATCATAAAGGATTAAACTACTTAAAAATATATTATTTTGACACATTTTACTCGCAAAATAAATAAGTCGATAATTTATTTTAAAGAACATTCATTGTAACAAATATACACGAATTTAAAAGGTTGTGTTAATCAGATATCAATACTTTTTTAAATCACAATTTTACCAAAGTCAATAGCATTTACACGTACGACTTCCCATCACATTATACCGTAGATGTACAATCATACCTTACAATCAATGAAATATTATTCTTTTTTGACAATCATTCCTAATTAATGAAATATTATTCTTTTTTGACATCATAGACAAAACTACTTAAAAATATATCATTTTGACACATTTTATATCGAAAAGCCAAAGTTATCTCGTTTGTCATAAAGCTTGGTTGTTAGATCATCACTTACGTCCTTTTTACACCGAAATATGAAACAGACGTTTCAGAACCCGTGGTATCTTTAATTTCAAGCTCACCAGGGTATATCTATCGACATAAGAATGGAAACAACCACTGCCAACCGACAAGTATACTATTATCAGAGGTAGGCACCTGGAGTTTCTAGTGTTCCTGCTGATGTCCTCTTCACATATTTGTACATGTATTATTTAAATACTTTTTGAGAATGATCATTGTTCGTTTTCTTCTTCTTTTCATAATCACCTGCGTATGGTTTATGTCTCGCATTTGATTCAGTATGCAAGAAATTACTCTACATAAATACCATTTCTTAACCAAGTAAAAATTATATAAGTTTATGATACAAAGATACTCAGTTTTCTACATTCTCATTTAAATTCAACATTTTGCAATCCTCGATACAACGACCTGTTACAATCTACCGTGAGCTCATTTGATATCAGACATCTTTCATACTTATCATAAGACCATTAAAATAACACTGAAAATTATCGACAGTTTTTTTCGTATTGCTGAGAATAACGAAGGACAGAAGGGAGGTATGGTCGGTTGACAAAGGATACTCACTCGTCCATAGGATCTAATCTGACCTCTGTTTTCAGAGGTCCGTGCATGTTTGCTCTGCTCAAAAATCGTACTGTTTAATTGGACCTTTGAACAAGCGCATAATGCTTTGTCATCTTCTAATGTCATTTTTCTATCATTTTTTTTTCTTAAATTTTTATCAATCCCACTTAAAGAGAAAAAAAAATATATCTGAATATGAAATAGGTGAAGTAAACGTTAATGGGTCTCGAAAAAAAAATCTTTAAACAAAGCAAATACACACAGACAACTGTTAATTCCAAAGACTGTGAGGAGTAAGCACCCCCGTCTACAGGTCCTATCTACCGTGGGCTCTACATGTGATCGGGTAATTATTGTAGTAATCAGTTAATTAGTATTAAAAAGGCCTAACACTTGGTATAAACTCTTTCAATCAAAATACGTTCCAGTAATATATGTATTTTCTAACAAGGTCATTATGTTTGACGACCATAGAAACTTGACATTTACTGTAAAATGCAGATCGACTCTAAAGGAGGTTGTTTAAATCGTTGCAACGTCAACTTATTTTTCAGTGGCCTGTATAAATTTACTTATACAATCTAATATGATTCCTGAATTAAGGGATGTCGTCACTCAAAGGAGAATTATAGAGGTTTCACTAAACTTAAGTTCAATAGTGCGGTAACTCTTTACAAAATTGTTTAATGTCAAAAAGGTAGAACAGTAACAGTATTAAAGGAGAACTGTGTGCGCGTACGTATTAATGAAAAACTGAAAATATAACTCAGTTCTCTTATTCACGCACCGTAATAAGCAGATAAAACCCAAAAATACATAAAAATACATTATGAGTGGGGGAGGAGGAACTTTACAATTTTTCAACTTATTGGCTTATTTTATGTACAAGTATATCAATATCCATAAGCTCAAATGTTTACAAAAATTATTTTAAATACCAATATTAATAATATTCTTGTGTATCTCAATTTGAAGCACATACTAGTGGACTGTTTTAAAATTTTTGCTATTTATGTAAACTTTAACATGCAGAGAGACTACATACATGAATTTGAATCAAAGATTGCATATGATGACTTAAAAAAAAGATTAAATTTAAATTAAAGCTTGCATTCCAATTCTCACAACTTGTTGACTTTGTGACAGGTGAAGCTCATAAAAGAAAGTAAAGACTCGTGCCTTTTCAAAGCCAAACGACACAGACCGTGTATCAGTAACAGATCCTAATGTCCTCAAGTGTCATCTATTGCACTCCAACAGCTGCGCAACCCATTGGTCACGTGTCGCGGAAATTCATTTCCCATCATTGCTGCCATTTTATTTTACAAATCTGTTTGTGTTCCGACACTTGAGGTGTCACATTACTGTAAATGTTAAACCAATAGTTGATTGAAAAATAACAAATTATTTCTTTCCTCTCAGAAAAATAACAGTTTTTGTACAAATCTTTAATGTAAAAGACACGTTGATTTTATTTTCATGGAGCAATAGGTTCCTCACATACATTTAAACAGTCAGGGAATTTTAGAGATGTATGAATTATACTAAATATATAAAATATAAATTTATATCTGTTTTGCATCTTCATTTTTTGCTATAATTATAATGAAATTATATAATATTCATAATTAACCATTCATGTACATATACCCGATTAGATTTTTTTTGTACTTCCCCTCAATGCACCTATTCTGCATTGCTTAAATGCAGTGAGTTTTTTTTTTTACAGAGCCTAAGCTGATTTACATATTAATTTCCTCACGTTTCTTAGTTTACAATAAGGCTGGACTTTTGTCTCATTCGACCAATGAAACTTGGGATCATCCATACTGGGCATCATCCCTATAAGCCACCAGATAGAAACAGAAATAAAAACGGGATTGTCCTTGTCTTCAAAGAATTTGTTGCAACAGAAGGCAGTGATTGCAGAAAATAATTTTCCTTCTGAAGCCAAAAAGAATGGACCTCCATCATTCTGATGACAATTCCACAGTCTCTCGCGTTGGTAAGTTTGCTGAAAAGTTATATGAAGATTTTGGAAACTTAAACTAAAAGTTTGATTCAGCAATATTTGTTCCTTCTGAAAAATTATGGTCTAAACTTGAAAGATAATTAAATAATTTTGATTTGTCGAAGAATTTATTTACAATAAACATTTCATGCAGTTTATGAGAAAAAAATAAGGAAATTATATCATAATAGGCATAATTAGTACGTAAAATGTTCTTGCATACTGGGTATATGTTTTTGTTTTACATTTATAATACAGGTATTGAAAAAGAGAATGTATGTCTAAATGATAATATTAATCATAATGCATGTTTTGTAATCATCTCACCGTTGACAAATGTTGCCAGATGTTAAAACTATGTCTGAAACTATGTCTTAATTTAAGTACTAGTAAAGAGAATTATCATAAAGTTAAGAGCAGATCATCGAATGTTTCGCTGAAAATAATGTTTTACATATTGTCTTATTTTAGCTGTATTTATAAACCGTAATCAGGTATTTACTGCGGTTGGAAAAGTTTGCTATTTGACCCCATTAAGGTGTAGCAAATTAAGTTTCTGTGTTTTCAACTTCTGGGATTGAATCATACAGCAAGAATTAATTTATGGGATATAAACATAAAGCGTTAAGGTTTTGGTAGAACACTGCCTAGCATACATTTTTTAAATTCATTTAAAGATGTGTTGATCATTTGAAGGTGCTTGACAACTGCAACTAAGCTTTACTATCTACTAGTTACTTTTATTTTTAGAATGTAGATTAAGAAGTGATGAAATAAATTAAAACAGATTAACTGACATACGAACCAGTTATAAGACTTGCTTGTATAAAATATCTAAAATATTATTGTAGAAATATTATGCGCTCGTAATTTTGCGGATTGTCTTATTGGCAAAATTTGACAACCTCAGTAAAAATCCATTTTACGGTACTTTAGCGCATTGATATGACATTGGTGTGTTTATATGATATCTTTAAGAAATATTTCATAAATAATAACAAATTGAAATTTCTTAAATTAATTTTCAACTTTACTTATTGATTGATATTAAACGGTGCTAAATTTTGTATACTTTAAAATAAAAACTCGTAGATTATTAACTGTGTTTTAAATAGGTTATTTGCAAAAGTTTAGATATTGAATTTAATATCACATAAAATATATTAAGTAATCCTTTATAACTTTTTGACATTTGCAGATCTGTAATATGTTATTTGTTTTCTCAGTGCTATTAAAATCTATGCTAATGCATGGATGCGATATATTACTGATGTTATTTTTAACTGGGAGGGGAAAAGGGGGTGTGAAGAAAAGCTCTCCGTATTTGTATATTTAAACTGTATATGCAATAAAGAAACATAATGCTATATTAGGGAAAATATTAATATATGTCATTTAGAACTTTTGCTAAAAAGACCCACACTTCCCCAACTATCAACTATTTGCGGATTCGTCCGCAAATGAACTGGTATTGAATATGTAGATTGAGAAAACAAATTAAAAGTTAGAAATTAACTCTCAGCCTTTCACTTGATGTTTCTCCTTCACCATCACGTATCGTGATGGGAATGATGACTAACTAGATATCTAACTGTGTAATTCCCCGATTCTTTCATCCTTGAGTTTATTGAATCAAACCAAACTGGTGATATTTTTATTGAATTAAGGGGAGATAATGAAAAAGACATTGAATAAAAATCTGATTATGCAGAGCAGGGAAAATCTTCGGCATTTTGATTATGGTGCGATGGATGATGAAGAAGCTAAGTTAGAGATCAATCTGGAGTATTTCTCTAAGATTTACAGATCGAGGCAAGAATTACTGTTAGATGAAAAATGCGATATCGAATCAAAAGCTCCCTTACAACAAACATGAAAATGTATTTGGAAAGATATCTTTTCAGAAAGTATGGTCTTAAATTAACTAAGAAATTATACAACTTTTTTTGTCTTCATATTCTTTTGGAAGAAGGTGTCAGATTCTTATCCTTTAATAATTCTTATATCTTTTGTTGTCCTTTTAACAATGATTTCTTAATTATATGAATAAAATGAAAAAAAAAATGAAGAAATTGACTGATAAGTATTAAAATATAATTACGTATTCCAAAAAACAATTAGTATAATAAGAGCTACTTAACAATTCTTTCATACTTAATTCGCATTGATACATTGATCACGGGGGCCTATTATCTCCTATGTTCTCTATTACTACTTGATTAAAAGTGTACACTTTAAAGATAACAGAATTGATAAGATGTCCTGTACTAATACTTTGAAATTAAATTTTGATTTACTTCAAAATTTATTTATTCTATAATTTACATGGGAGATATCATTTCAATGATGATTATTATGGAAGTTAAATTTGAAAAAAGTAATATTTTCCTTTAATAAACAAAAATCATACGAAATTCCAGATTGTTGAGATGCAACTGTACAAAAATTTAAATTTTAAAGAATGGTGAGATACAACTGTACAAGAATTTAAATTTTAAAGAAAGGTTTCATCTACTATAATTTTAATCTTTGATTTACTTAAGTACATTGCAGTTGTTCATAGTAAATTACATGTATTTTGACAATTGTATTTTCTGCAGGTTTTTTTTTTAAATATATTAAAGTAAACTAAAATTATCAAAAGAAGTTCAAGTTTTATCACCCTGCTGTTGCTAATTAACTTTTTGATTTTCCTGAAAAGAGTGTGTTCAGCAAATATTCGTTATTTTCAAATTAAGAATCTATCTATTTCTTTTAGCTTATTCGCATGTCCAGTAAACAACATTAAATTATCTTTTAAGGGTTTAATCCACACTTTAAATTACCTTTACGATGGCAGATTTCAACACCTGTACCGAATATTTGTTTGATTTCTACACCTGTGCTCTATTCTTATTTTTCTGCTGTAATGGTGATCTATTGAATTCTCTTTGGTCTGGAAACCCGATAGCTGTTTCTTCTACGTGCTGACCTTTAGTCTGGTCATCTTTTACTTCATCTGTTACCCCCAGAGTTTATCTAGTAAAATCAGACCAGTACATGGCTATTCTGCAGATAATGAGTTCCTCTGTCATAGAATGGAGACGTGTCGGAGCATTAAAACAGTTCAACATTTAATTATCATTTCATCAAACAAAAATTAAAGAAGCTTTAGAAGTGATACAAAACATGCTTGGGTACCAATGGCGCCCCGTTATTAGAAGACCTATTTTTGTATTCATACGAAGCAGAATTTGTCCTAAATCTTATGCTTGAAAAGAAGAAAACGATGCTCTGGCCTTCCACTCGACATTTAGATACAGTATATCTACGACGTGTTGTCAGTTAATATTGTTTTTTTTTATTCTTATGTCGATACGATATATCTCAGTACGTTTTAAATGAAGACACCACAGAGTCTGACACATCTGTTTCATATTTGGATCTTTTACTTGAAAAAGATGTTAATGGTAATCTAACAACCAAGCTTGATGATAAACGTGATGTCTAACTTATAAATCGTCAACTTCCCCTACTTATGCAGCAATAAACAGTCATTTGCTTTCGGGGTTTATATACTTGTATATCTATCAGTTAATTCGATATGCAAGAACATGCTCTTCGGTGAACAATATATAAAGCGTTGTAAATTGTTGACAAAGAAGTTGATGAAACAAAAATATCAGTAGTCTCATTCAAAGTCATCATTTCGTAAAGCCACAGATATTAAAGCTTTTTAACTTAAAATATATTTAGTTTATATTTTTTAATAGAAAATATCTATTTATCTTTACAAATGCATCTTATTGTAATTTTACCTATCTAATATGATATACTTTAATTACAAAAAAAAAAAAAAAAATACTATGAGTAAATGCACCTCTTATCTTATAAATTCATGGGCATTTTTTGAGATGTTAAAATTTTCTCACTGTTGATCTTCACAACCTGAGGAGCTGACTACCTTAATAACAACATTTTTTTTCATCGAACATATAATAAAATCAAGAATACTTGACTAAATAATTATAAGGATCTTTTTGGTAGATATTCAATATATTTTTTGTTGTTGTGGTAATATTTTACACATCAATTTTATCTTACAAAGGATATTGATGCAATATATAACACCCTAAATTGAATAATACAGATTTGTAATTGTATAATATTACGATATAATTATATACTTAAAGAACATCATATTTTAACATGTGAAGAAATAAATATTTTTTAGAATATGAATTAAAGTAATGACAATTAAATGTTACTGTATGGTATTTTAACATCTAACCTGAAATCATAGGTATACATGTCAGCATATAGTCGGGATGCACAGAGAAGATATAAAGTGCTACCTGATTTTAGTGTCATGTTGTAAATTTTGAATTTACCGGGTGGCAGTAAATACAAAATTTACAACATGTTGTCATGTTGTAAATTTTGTATTTACTGCCACCCGGTAAATTCAAAATTTACAACATGACATTAGCATAAATATGCGCTTATATTTATCGGAAATATGTTTAATTATTTTTAGAGTGAAATGATCTCTTATTTAATTTTTAAAAATATTTATCATTTTTAATTCGACACGTAATGTAACAAGTGTAAACTTTGTTGAAAAGAATTATCTCTCGATTGATTTTTATCAAACCTCGAATATAGAGACATTTTTGAAGACTTTTAATAGAAATTCCTATTAAAAAATTTTTCCTTAATTTTTATCGCACAAACAGTACGATAAAGTTATAGAAAGAAAAAGAAAATTTTTAACAAAAACTTTTTCGTAGAGAGTAATGTTATGTTTTAACTTTAAACGATTGTAATATGAGAAATAGTTAGATATACATGTAATAGCAGGTTTAGAAGTTTTCTTAACACTGCCATGAAGAGTCTTAACTAATGCTTGTTTTACGAAAGAAGAAACAGGACAATAGAACAGTGTTCGCTTTTTATTTGTAAATATTCCATTTTTTAAAATCCCAGTATATCTAATAAAGATTTAAACCCATAGTTAGAGTTTCCAGAACAAATTTTTGATCGGAAGAAAGTTTTACCTTTGTAAATGAATCCTGTGCTTGTCAATATGCTTCAGAAATGTTCTTCTAAGTAGACGTTCTACTTCAAACATTTTTTCGAATGGTCAAATATTTTTTTTTCAATTTGGATGTAACAAGCTATTAAAAAAAAAAAGAATGATGTGTGTTTGTGAATAACTGATGTTCCTTCTGATGTAGCTTTAGGTGAAGGTTTGAGTTTCTCAAATTCTCGTCAAACTCAAAAGACAAGAGACTGACCTTGTAGTTTGACCCTCTTCTAAAAATCCAAAACCTTTGCTATATTTTTTTAATATTTGATGCTAAATCTTTAATATTTTACACGTGAATTTCTTTGACAAGGCCATCCCCGTGGTATCATTGATTTTATCCTTTGGTTTTGACCATGCAATCAATACCGGTATGACCCACTTTTAGAAAAAGTTTAACCTTAACCATAATGTTTGAATAGTTAGTGCTTGGGCTTTTTTTTTCAAGAATATTCAGAAGTCAGAATATGACAGAAGTCCAAACTCTGGGCAACACGTTTTATCTTTTGACCTTGGACTTTGACTTGCAGTTGAGAATCTTTTACCTTTGTCATTAGCTTTCAAACGGGAGAATCAGTGTTTCACAAACACAGTCATATTGTTCCCCTTATTTCTGTGTTATTGATGCATACATCAAATTAAAACAAATTAAACAATAATAAGTGTCTTAAATGTTTTACTTCAAAAGAAGCAAAATCATCACAGACTCTAAAAAAGAGTATTTATAATTCCTAATGATACCTTTTTAGATTTGAATCATTCACAAAGATCAGACTTATCTTCTCCATTGACTCTTTCGCCCCCTGGTCCTTCCATTCCATCGGCACCTATATCCACTTCCTCTCCCGTTCTGATACATCCTCACCCTATCACCCCTCAGTGTGGACCCATGAAGAGGGGGTCCCCGGGGCTGACGTGTGTTGTATGCGGGGACACCTCCAGTGGAAAGCATTATGGGATTTTGGCCTGTAATGGATGTAGTGGATTCTTTAAAAGGAGTGTTCGAAGAAAATTGATCTATAGGTGATTTAAAGAAAGTGATATCTATTAAATTTTTACTGAAATTGTAAAAAATGATTAAAAAGATCAGTTTCTTGAAAAAATGTATCTGTTATATCTGTTTTATTACACGTTGTTTGCAGATGTCAGGCGGGCACGGGTATGTGTTTGGTCGACAAGGCTCATAGAAACCAATGCCAGGCCTGTCGTCTGAAGAAGTGTCTGCATATGGGAATGAACAAAGATGGTAATTTGGTTTTGAATCGTGCCTTAAAGTAGTCAGGAAAATATTGCTACTTACAACTGAAATGAAGTTTTTAAAATTATTCTAGCATAACTATTTCACCATACAACGGTTAAAGGTACTTGGACACAGATTTGAAGTTAATATTTTCTCATTTTTTCTGTATAATATCACGAATTATATATTTCAATAGCATTTCACACAAAAATAAATTAAAAAAACTTATTTCATTTAAAAGTTATTAAAACTTTAAATTTTTTGGCGGGTTTGATTGACACATCCTTGCACTTTCACAAATTTTAACTTTATTCTTAATCCTTAGGAAAAGTGGCAATTTTGATGTGTTTTAATGAGAAATATTAAAACTTTTATCAAGAAAAATAATTTTATTCAGAGTAGAAATGTTAGAAAGCAAAACACCTTCACAAGTATCGTCATTCCGAACTAAGAGATGCGTACAGAGTTTAGCAAATCGAGCACACTCGTGTTATGTACACAGTTTTTGTAAACAGGGCTCGAGTTCTGTTATTGTTTATATTTAGAATTCACCGGGTGCGTTCAATCGTCACAGTCTGCTTACCACAACTGCACGGACTGACAATATATTGTGTGATTGTTTTGCATTCGAACGTGTCTACTCTGAATTTTCTGGATTATAGTATTAATATTTTTCATTTATACAAAACGAGATTGCCACTTTTCCTAAGGATTAAGAATAAAATTAAATTTGTGAGAGTGCAACGATATGTCAATCAAACCCGCCGAAAAATTTGAAATTTCAATATCTTTTAAACGAAATAAGATTTTTAATTAATTTTTGTGTGAAATGCTATTAAAACATATAAGTCGTAATATTATAGAGAAAATAATAACTTCAAATCTGTGTCCAAGTACCTTTAAACTATATAGTTATGTTTACATGAGGCACAATTTACAGACTTTAGTAGAGTCGTGTTAAATCACTAAATCAGCATAAAGATTAACGTAATTAACTGAATTTACTATAACATTTTCTACGAAAAGTGATGAAATCACTATTGGTCTTCGAGTTAAAATTTTAAAAAGCTACAATACATGAGTTCATGATAGTAGGGCCGTAAGGGGCTATATACATAACTTTTTCCTTTCATATTTATTGGTCTGTTAGCTGTGCAGAATGAACGCCAGCCGAGAAATACAGCACAAGTTCGCCACGATCAGATACCTGCTGAACTGGATAACCCTTTCATTCAATCTCATGTGACCATCTCAGCTACTCACCCGGCCTTTAGTCCCCCAGCCAATACTCGAGTATTCCAAGGAATGTCGCATCCCGAAGCTCACTCGAAACTGGAGCAAGTAGAATCTAGTAAGTAAAGCAACTCAACTAGCTAATCTTGTTGGACAAGTTGCATTTGTAGATATCTGTTGCTATTTAACAAAAACTTCTGTGAGTATTTCATTTAATTCTTATTGAAGGTCGAGATGAAAACATAGATGTCACAAACATTGAAACCGAGCAGAATATCGTTCCACACCCACATGCATACTCGGAACCTCTGATTTACTCGTCAGGCCAGGAAACGATATACGAGTGTTCGGCTCGACTGTTATTTGTTGCCATTCGGTGGGCAAAAAATCTTCCATCATTTGCAAATTTACCTTTCAGAGATCAGGTATTTATATTCTGAAATTTTAAAGATAAACAGATTCCATTTTAAATAAGCATTAAAAGATACAGCTATAATATTCACACAATACAAGGTTTCTTGCCTAGTATAAGATATAGTTATAACTGGATCTACCTTGAAGGAAGAACAATTTAAATGAATTTACAAACAGTTGAAAAGCATTCAGAAAATTTAAATGTAAAATAGCTTATTCTGTTTTATAAGGTAATTCTTCTAGAAGAAGCATGGAGTGAGTTGTTTTTGCTGTGCGCCATTCAGTGGTCTATGCCGATGGAGACGTCACCGCTTCTTATGACGCACGAAACAGTACAGCCGCAAATGGCGAACCTAAAAACAGGAAACCAGTACCCTGATGTTCGCTTACTCCAAGAAATATTCAGAAAATTTAAAAATACGCAAGTGGATCCTGCGGAATTTGCTTGCTTGAAAGCAATCGCTCTATTTAAGCCAGGTTTAAAAGCTTTAATATACATGTACAATGCAATGGCGAAAAAAAAATTTAAATGCCTTTAGTTGAGTGGACTGGACATAAATCACAGTTGATCCTCTGCGATATGGAAAGACATGATATGCCAATTAGTACATTCACTTTGAACTCTCATCTTATAAAAAATTCTACCGACAAACACACAGGAAAATAATTATACCATTTTCTTTCTTTGTAATAGAGACTCGTGGACTAAAAGATCCCATTCAGGTAGAAAATTTCCAAGACCAAGCCCAGCTAATGTTGTCACAGCACGTGCGGTCTAACTACCCAACACAACATGTCAGGTACATGTATATCACGATTTAACTGTACTTTTTAGGGCCCGACTATTCATGGTACATTGGACAAGGCTTGTTTATTGTCTAAAATGAATTAAGAAAAGACAAAACCAAGTATGGGTCAAAATGAAGTTGAGATGTATTGTCTTTATGAAACATGATATGTTTGATATTCAAATAATGAAGAAAATTTAAAAATGAATAATACCGAGGGATTTTGTTTATTAGGTTTGGCCGCCTACTTTTGATGATCCCGTCACTCAGGTTCGTGTCGTCAGACAGGGTAGAGAAGATATTCTTTGGGAGGACAATTGGAAGCGTGCCCATGGAGAAACTCCTTTGTGATATGTTCAAAGGATAAATCAGTGAAAATCATTAATAATAAAAAAAACTAAAATCGTTTTAAAAAATTGCTCTTATTCTCGATCTGATTTAATGAATTATATTGTTTTTAAGGTAATAGTCAAATTTGTTTTTAAAACTTTTGTCACTTATATACAATTGTAGTGTATTTTTTTTTAAATTTGCCATGACAATGTATATGAAGAATTAAAATAAATTCTTGAATCATTATAGTAAAAAATAAAAGTATTGCTTCTACATTCTGTGAAACTGTAATAATGTCTAATTACTACATTGTATTTTATAAAAATTATACAGTTTATAATAACATGATTACTCACTTTTTAATAGGGATACGGGAAAAACTGACGTCTGCAAAAATTATAAGTACATGTACCTCAAAATAACCGATTTTACAGATTCTTCACGTTTATATATCTTTCATGTTAATTTCTCAAGAAATCAATGTGAAAATTTTATAGAGGGACAAATACATTTTATTATTAAAGAATCTCAATTTTAGAATAAGACAAATCAGTTTGATTTGCATCTTGTGTATATATATTCAAAAATATGCGCACTATAGATTCTCGGATAATAAGAGTCACAGTATATGACTAATAAGAAACAATTAAATACCATACTTGACACTCCGCTAAATTATATTCGAACGTCTAGATCTATTTCACAACAGTTCTAGATTTTAAAAATAATGTGTACAAGACCTCGGCTAAATACTTACGTCTACTGAACAAATTCAGAAGCAAGATGTGTTTGTGAAACACCGATGCCCATGTATGACAGCTTATAACTTAAAGTTTCTGTAATGCAAGTCAAACTTCAAGATCAATAGATAAAAATGATGATACCCTAAAAAGGACTTACAAATTCCAAGGTCAAGCTTTCAAAATTAATGGTTACTATGGGAAGTCGCGTTTCAAGAAACACACAAGTAAAATATATATATAAAAGTCTTAGATTCAACCATTTAAAAGGTACAGACAAGGTTAAAGTTTTCAATATTAAGTCAAAATCCAATGTCAAAATTGTTAGTATACAACAGCTGTACAAAGGAAGGACCGTCACAGGGATATGAAAGTTGTATTACTTACAGTTCAACAGTTACGGCCAAGGTTAAAGTAGGCCGTACTTTGTGGCAAAAGTAAGACAAACTCCAAGGTGAGATTTCAAATATGTTGATACCCAAAGAAAGGTCTTGTCACAAGGAATGAACAATTTAAATATGAAAGGCATAGGTCCTATAAATAGAAAGTTATGGACAAGTTTGAGACAGACAATGCAAAATATCTGATAATTGGGGTATACGTGTAATAATCCTAATTGTGGTCTGGTTAGACCGCAGAGCTACATAGAGTCCTTGAAGGCAGACGGTAGTTACAGGAGCTATTGAACAATTCGCGTGAACTTAGGAAATGCATATACATGTACTCTGATTTAAATATATTGTAATTTTTAAGCCCCTGTAATCGAAAATTAGGATGCATATAGTTTTTGCTTTGTCCGTCCGTCTGTTTCTTTTCCAAAAAACCTTTAACCTTGCCCATAACTTTTGATTTATTGTGAATTGTGAGCTATGGATTTTATATTTAACATATATATGTATTCCTTGTTTGGGTACCATATTTGACCTATTGACCTTGGAAGTTTACTCACTTCCACCCTTTTATTTTGGATTAACACATTTGAATTTTGGTTGGCGCAAGAGTTTTCATACTCTACATGTCTTTGTGATATACCTTGGTAGATGTTTTTTTTTTTATAATTTGACCTTGGAAATTGTCACACTTCATAAAAATGTGACCTTTGCAATTGGCCATGTTTTAAATATTTAAAGCTTGAACTATTATAATATAAATGTGTATTCCTTGTGACAGGACCTTCCCTTGCATACCAATAAGTTTGACCCTTTGAGTTTGACTACTTAACCCCTGATCAGAACTTTTAACAGGGTGAGTGCTAAGGTTATCATACTTAACAGGTGTATTCCTGGTGAAAATATCTTAACTTTGGTACCGACAATTTTGTTCATTGACCTAAGACATGGACCATCTTGAAAAAGCATTACTGTGGAATCATTCAAAGTAATGCGGACCAATTGGGGGTAACCCGAATTACCGAAATGCCCCTGGAAATTACCGAAATGCCCCCTAAAACTACCAAAATGCCCCTTGAATTATATTCTAATAGGCATTTTATGATAATTTATGATAAATTTTATTAATAAAACTGTGTATTTTGAACACAAATGTGAAAAAATGCCTTTAATATCGCTCAAATATTTGTGACAACTAAGACCGATAACTCTTGCAACATTGTTGCAACGGGAAGCTTGTTATTGTCCGTTGTTGTAATATTATTTTATGATTTAATGATCCCTTTTCTTTTTCTCTCTCTCCTCTCTCTCTCTCTAGATCTCTCTCTTACTCTCTCTTACTTTGCTGACAAAAATTTATACCGTATGTCATTTAAAAAAGAAGAAGAAGAAGAAAAAATGACAGAAGTACAAGTACAAGTAAGTACACTGTTTTATTTACACCTCATATAAATATAATAACGTAAGGTTTAAAAATAAAAGGGATTTTTAAAATTCAACAAAATATATCTTTTGTAATAAAAAGTACTTAAGAATGTTCGCCGGTATCAATAAATTACACCCCAACCCCTTACCCCAAGATACCGTTGCCCAGCTCTTGCCACGTGCTGGCCTTCTCAATAAGAGCCATAATTTTGAAGAAAAAAATATATCAATATTTTAACGTAATTTATAAATTTTAAGCGTAACTTTTATTAAAACTGGATGGATACAGAACTACCCAAATGGCAATTAACGAGGATGATTGACACGTACTTGTCACCAGACAGGACTTCAAATTTTTGAATGAATAACGGTACACAATCAAAGTTAACAGTAGTACATGTATATGCAGCAGGGGAGACTAAACCCCTGGGGTTCAGAGTTGTAAAATTTATACACTAAATAAACAGAACTATGAAATGCGCATAGCATATTAAACTTAAAAGTTAAAATTAATAAATTTAAATTATTCGGCATGTAAACTGACATCATTCAGAAAATAGTTCTGCTAATATGAAAACAAAATTAATTAAATTGCTTTCATTTGTTTCAAAAATTTATAAATATATATACAAGTGTACAGTTTTTCTCAAATCGGATTAATATGTCAATATTATGCATGTGTGTTCATTTTGATAAAATCATTTAACTGTTAACAAATATATCAAAAAATATTTTGATTAAATATTAAGTTGCGTAGCATTAGCTAGGTATTAACTAACCAGCAACGAACGATCTTTTTTCTCGAGATTTAACAATGAATTTTAAATAAGTGATATAAATGATCGATGAGTAACGTTTAAGCATTACAAAAATTATATTCACGTAAAAAAAACAAATCTTCGACAGTAATATAAAATTTGAAACAATAATGTAGTTCTTTTTCGAATATTACATTGAGATAGATCAACTACAAATACCAGAGTTATCTCTCTTAGATAAACACACCTTTTTGAACTAAAAACACATCTGTAATTTTTTTTTTTAATTTCCGAGTTTAAAATAATATATATAATAAACTCACTACCTTTCATATTAATCAAAGTATTTAAGTTTTTAAAGGGTATTTCGGTAGTTTTAGGGGGCATTTCGGTAATTTCCATGGGCATTTCGGTAAATCAGGGGCATTTCGGTAATTCGAGGTACCGACCAATTGGCAATTTTGATGATTTGATCAAATTTCACAGGTTCTTTGTGATTTAAAACAAACATTTTAATGTCTTGACAGTGGATTTAGAGTGAGACTTGCAATTGAGAAACTTTATCTTTGTAATGAACTGTCATGAGTAGGCATCAGTACTAGTATCTTACAAAATTGAGCTACAGATCAAGCTTTGTAAAAACCTTTGATTTAAGCCGCCACTTTTTTGTAGCTCACTTCAGGAATTATTTTTGTATTTTTAGCTTTCCTCAGCTTTAAGAACAATATCCGATAATTAAGCTTGTATTTTACTCCTTCTCTTATTACTTTATTTACCTTTCAATGGTCCCAAACAGCCCTACATTCTTTCTGAATGTCTGTTTTCAAAAAAGCTATTCCGACAATCATCTTGGAGATTGTGCAAAAAATATCTATCAAAAAATATTTGCTTGTCCCAAACTGGGCAAACTGTAAACAATTCCTAAGGTGGGGAAAAGCATTAAATACAGGGAATAATACCCGGAGTGGGCGACAAAATTGCGGCGGAATAAATCGGAGGTTTTGACAAAAGGTTTGAATCTGTAGCTCTCTGCTTTATCTGTCCGAATTTTCTCAAGCAGAGAGCTACAGTTTTCCAGCCAACTGATGTTCATGAATTTTTATCTTCAAAAAAAAAACTAAAATTCATACAATATATATATATTATATATATATTTCACTGTAGAAATAAATCTGTAAATTGTACTATTACAGTACTTTTTCAAGAACTACATGTCTAATACACTGTACAAAATATTGTGTAGGAGGGACTACTTGTTACATTACATGTTGAATTTTATAAATATGTACAGGGAATTTACAATGGATTGAACATTTTCTTGTTTTAAAGAAAGCTCATTGTCAAGAGTTTTAGACATACAGTAAAACTTTTTTAAAGTGGTCACTTCCATTTCTATAGAAATCTGCCATCTTACTTACTAGACAAAATTCTGGATTAGAAATCATGTTTAACATGAATTTACAGAAAAGAACTAAATATTCTCATTGCAATAGGCAAAATTTAACATACAATCAAGTAATACTATATGGTTGGATAGTTAAAAGAATTACATGTACAGAATTCAGTTAAAAAATACTATGAAAAAACATTTTAAGATATTGTGCATGTTACTTAATGCCTTGTCTTGTCATTTTCAATAAACCTTAAACACATACATAAAAAAGAAATTTGATGCAATTCAAGCTCCTTTTGTATCTCATAAATTTTGAAATAATAACATGAGCATCATCATACAATCTAAAAGTATTAGAAAACTTTGTAAAAGCTCTATGAAGACAAACAGTATATCAGCTCTGTAATAAGACTGTCTTAAACAAGGAACTGAAAATGTAATTCTATATATGCACAAGTATATGGCAATCAATAAATCTGCAAAAATCCCTATGATAATTGAATTTGTACAATTGCCTCATGAGACCCATGGGCCACAACACTCACTGGAGGAACTTTAGTCCTTCTGTTCTAAAAAAAAAAAAAGAATTTCTTATATTCTCATGAAAAATAACCCTTTTTATAGCCCCACCCTAAATCTAAGGGGCCGCTGATTAGACATAACATGGGTATTATTCAATCCCAAATAATAGCCATGTAACTCGGAGAAAAATTTCCTTTCCTACATGCATTATGTAAACTTTCATCCAGACGAGATGTTTAAAGTGTTCCTATATACACTATCACAAAATGTCTCCTTTTGTGGCTCCAACTATCCTGTTTGATTTAAATGATTTGGAATCAACGTTATAATCTTTTCAAAGCTTTCATACTAACTTTTAACTTTTCAGCTTTTAAAAACTTTTTTTTCTTTTTTATTCCAACTTTGGTCCCTATCCCCCTCTTCCACCCCAAAGGCTGATTTAAACAAATTAGAATCTACTTTATGTCAGAAAACCGTTTTGACCAATGATTCAAAGGAAAAACATTTTAAAACAGATTTGGTATTCTTCTGTATATTTCTCATGTAATACTTTGATCTCCTATTGTGATCCTACCCTACAATGATAGGTACCATAATTTGAGCAATTTAGAATCCACATCACCTTTAAGGCTTTTCCATGATTCTTTCATACAAGTTATATCTTTTCTATGTACAGTGGATATTGAGAAAAGGATTTTTCCTACATACACATGTACATGTAGCACACAGACAGATGCACGTCAGACAATGAGTGTCAAGAAAAATAGAACACATCAAACTTGGACATACAATGCTATAATTAACTGAAATTCAGCAAATTATTAATATTTATGCTATTCCTGGTTTTTACATAGTAAAATAAAAAAAAAAAACACTTTTGTAGAACTGCAGTATATGTAACTGGTAAATGTTATTAGTACTGGCTAAAATTCAAGTATCTAAAATGTCACTAAATTCTAATATGATATACTAAGGCAAAAAAAAATTAATCAATAGTTTCTCAGTAAAACAATTGATCAATTTTAGTAAAACAAAAGCTCAATTTTCTATTTTTCCAAGTTGAAAAAGAAAACCGAGTTATTCCCCTAAGGGGCCCTTTTCATAAATGCTAAGATAGACGTTTTTATTACAAAAACAATACATTTCTTCTAAATTTTCAGTATTTAATTAATTAACTTTTAAATAAAAGTTTGGAGTAACATTATTTAAAGTTGAATACAAGTTACAACCAATTTCAGAGAACAAAAATTAAGAATTGGTAGATATTATCATTTTATTGTACAAATGGCTTGAAAACCTGCTTCAAAAAAAAAAAAAAAAAAAAAGCCTGCCTGCCGCATTGAATTCTGATTTTTTTGGCCCGAGAAACAATTGATTAATTTTTTTTGGCCTAATATGTAGTAAAACAATAGTATTAGTAAAACAAAAGCTCTCTGTATTCTGATGCAGCAAAAACATGCATTTACCCTACACTAATAAAAATCTACAAGTGAAGTTTACAAAAACGGCAAAATAAAACATAAAATGATTCAAATATTCTCATATAATCCTTTCAAAGATAAATGTCTCTTACTCTTGAATCAGGTACAAAGAGGTAATAATGTGGATCCTAATTCCTTCAGTAAATATGCTTTATAAATTTTTGGACATAAACTACAAAATACCATGAATAGACAAAACTTTCTTTCAAAAAATAATAAAAGAACAACTGGGTTCTTTTTATAGTTGGTATCAATCTAAAAAAATTTTTCTTATCTAACATGAAAAACAGTGGGGGGGGGGGGGGGGGGGGGGGGGGGGGGAAACAGGCATTTGTGATGACAGGAAGAGAAAAAAATAATCCATGATGTTGAAATTTTACAGTTAAATTTTACATCCAAACTTCGCAAAAATTTGCAAGTGAGTGTTGAAAAAATGTTTATATGTAAATAGACATATGGACACTATTGCATTTATTCTTGTCTTTGGCAATGGGATTAAAAAAGTCTGAATTACAAGACTGTAAGAAGTACTATTCACTGTTCTGAACGATTCTGTTCCTGAGATTGTAGCCAGAGTTATTCCCCCTAACTCTGCTTTCTGATTTCTTGGTTGGTGATTGGCTGCCGCTGCGACTTTCCCACTTTCCTTCTTTTCTGTTGCTGAAGTAGTAATGGACAAGAAGAATCTGAGGAACGATGAGGAGGAAGACGTTCTGTGTCCAGAAAGCCCACTGTGCCTCGGAGGTCTTAGGAAGGCGATAGTCCTTGTGTGTCAAATGATGGAGTGAGGCAAACATGTAAGGTATCTGGCCCTATACAAAAAAGTAATGTTTAAAAAACAACAAACTACACTTTTAGTTTTATCCAATAATCATACATGTATTTGGCATTTACAAAACTGTTTAAAAAACAACAAACTACACTTTTAGTTTAATCCAATAAACATACATGTATTTGGCATATACAAAACTCCAAGATTCAATTTAGAATTCTTTATTGGAACGTGATTATCTTACATTCAACACAGCACCGGCATAGATGAACAGCCAGTCAAGGAACCACTGCTTAGCAGGAGCATGAATCAAAGAGTAACTGGCAAATGCACAAAACGGGACACAGTAAAACAAGTAGGTCATCATCTGTATGAAAAAAAAATGTTTCCTTTAATACATGTCTAACAGGATATACTTAATTTAGTTCAAATTTAATGGTACATGTTTATCAAATGGCAAACCTGAACTTTTGGGAAGGCAATTGGGTCTCCAAGATAAGGCTCATAATTCTTCACAAAATATTGTGTAACAGCTGAATTACACCCTAGTGCAGCCTATAATGAAATACAAGAGACTTTCAAATAAATACATTATATTGTCTTCAGGATGAAAACATCTACTGTATGCAAGTATAAATATATAAACTTGCAGTGAAAATACAACCAAATGCTAGCTCCATCAAAATGACACAACAGACTGCAGAAAGACTTACCAGTCCTTTAAAAATGTAGATAAACATGGTTGACAGCAATAATACAATGGCTACAATGTCAAATGGTCTCTTCATCAGGTTTTCACTTGCAGATTTCTCCTGTAAAAATTATAAGTGAGTGTCTTAGTGAGCCTTAGCTCAAAAATTTGAGAAAATTTAATTCAATGAAATAACAAGTATATTAAGACTAATTAAATAATTCATATCATTTTTAAAATGTATACAATTTAAAAGAATTTATTTGTTGCCTTTTCATTAATTCGTGAGAAAAACATTCTTTTCTGAATCTCGCTGAAAAGTACACCACTCAAAAAGTATTAGAAGCTCGTTCTACATCTTCATTACAATACAGATGTTACCTTTATATTGGACGGCTTATCTAGAACTTTCTTAGTAATCCATACGGGAACCACCATGTATATAACATTCAACAGCATGGACCATTTTGCTCCATGTTGTCCTATAATGTAAAACAAAACAATTTATAAAACACATCAAGGCAGTTCCCTATTTACCAAGCAGCAATAACTGGATTTGGAGAATCATCAGTGAGGACATATTGATAAGTCATCAGAGCCACATTGTCTGACAAATCTACAATAAATACATTTTCCCTTACCTACAGCTCCACCAAGCATCAATACAATTAGACTATTGACTATGGATCCACCCCAATACAAGCCCACTTCTCTGTAATTTTTCCTGAAAATAAAATAAAAACAAAACTGAGTCTTCATATGAATTCCATGGTTGTTAAACTGAATTAATCTGATTGCATAGACACAAACTGTATTCACATATTTTAGACCTGTTTAGTCCAAGTTTTCTAAATCGTAGCTATGAGCTGTTTAGTCCCTATTAATCAAGCACAGATAAACCTAATGAGATGATAAAAACATACAAATTAAATTAGAATGTTAGTATAAGGATAAATTACAAAAAAAATTACTGAATAATAAAGTTTTTCATATACCTGTTGTCAATAGCTAGCAAAATGATGATGTAACAAGCAAAATGAATGATCCCGTCATGATAATTGATGCCTGAACCATGCCCACTTTTCAGGTAGGGCTCACCGCTTACAAAATAGAACGCCATTACACTGTGCACAATTTTGTCATTCTCCAAAGCAATGGTGAGGTCAATTACTGCAGCAAATGTTAGTATGCTCATAGCTAAAACAAAAATACAAAAAAGACCATTATCAATTGAAAAATAATGAACTGACCGAACTGTAATGAGCTTCAAACATCACTGGGGTTCAACAGGTTGGGACCAATTGCCCAAATGGGATATAATAGTCCGTTTGGGATATAATATCCCAAATGGGCTATAAATTTACAGTGCAAAAATTGAAAAATTTTATTTTGGCTATAAATATCACAAATCCGCATCAGGACACTTAAAAAGGAACAACTTTTGGTTGACAAGTTTTCCTGTATGCCCATTATCCCTCGGAAGTTCCTCAACTTCTTGGGGATCAATCTAACAAACGGTAGGGTTGCAGAAAAACTTGCTTACCAAAAGTTATTCCTTTTTAAATGTCCTGATGCGGATTTATGATATTTATAGCCAAAATAAAATTTTTCAATTTTTGCACTGTAAATTTATAGCCCATTTGGGATATTATATCCCAAACGGACTATTATATCCCATTTGGGCGATTGGTCCCAACCTGTTCAAATATTCGATGTACAATATGCATTAATACTATACATATTTTTTTGCATTTAATGATTTTTAAATAATACCAAAAGCAATTACCGTAGTATAACGGGTCGTCATTTTGGACAAAATTTTTGAATTTTGCAATGGCTGGAATGAGAAAGGCAACCAGGAGGCACAATAAAGCTATTACGAATATTGGAACTGGATTTTTGTCGATTTCCGGAATTAAATTAACAAAATACGCCATGGGAACACTTAAAATAGATGCCATCAGCACGACAAATGTTCCTTTTGTCTCCATTTTTATACTGTTTCAGCTGCTCCTCCTACCCCACGCTATCTCTCTTTAGAATTTCCTCTATTTTTCTTTCTGTCTTTGCTAGTTCTTACAAAAATCTATTCGCATTAAAACCAATTAAAGTATTATCTTGGAGAAAATATAGTATGAAACTATATTCGATTCTCAGTTTATCAATTCCAAAAAATTGTTTTTTTAAAGCAGAAAGTCAGACATTGTAAAGGCTTAAATTATACTTTAATTATTATCCGAATACGTTTATGTTTGTATGATTTCTCACTATTACCGCTAGGCGGCGTAATAAAAATAAAAACTTCCGTTTCGAATGACGCTCTTGGCACCGTTCTCAACCCATTGGAAGAGTTTGCCTTAGGCTAAGCTTTAAAAAAAAATCTACAATGAAGGAACTAATTTGTTGGTGAGAAAAATCTCATGATGGGTGATGAGAGTCCAACACACAATCGAGGGTTTTCCCCCGAGTCTGGTATTGTTTTAGAGGGAACAGAATGTACTGTTAATTCAAATACAACAGAGAAAACTCTGGAAGAGCTTGCGACTGTGGATTCTGCGAGAAGCAATGGACTTTCACCTAACCAACTGTACAATTTTAACTTGGCCAATCCGGAAGAAATTACGAAAATGTTGGAAAATGTTGATTTGACGGACGAAGATACTGACGTTTTGTTACAGGAAGCATACAATATCAATAGAAAACTCAAAGAAATATTACGAAGGCGAGAGGAAGGCCAAACTTTAGATGCCGCGGATCAAGCAATACTGAATCAGATGATCGTGGTTGTACCAGGGGCATCTAAAGAGGGTCGCGCCTCAACAGCAAAAGCATCGGGAGGGCTGGAGTTACAGAAAAAGGATCCTTTACCTCCCATAAAAACGGACAGTGAACAAAACCCACGTGTGGCCTCTGCAATATACAGTGCAAAGTTAAACAGACGAGCGGCACAGGGGACAGCATCTAGTCGTTCTGGTGCGAGAAAACCAGGAGGGGCAACTTCCGGGGATATGGTAGGCAGGAAGGAAAGGACTGGGTCGGGAGTTTCCCGGACTAGTGTTCAGAAATCAGCATCGTCTACAAAGGTATTAAATCAACCATGTTTCATTTGGTAAAGATTTAATAAAATTACTATTTAGAATTTTTTTAAAAATTAAACTCATATGATGATTATTTGGAAGTGAATGAACAAAAATTATTCATTCTTATCTATTAATTATTTCAGTACGGCAAATTCACAATTTCCTAAATTAATTTTGATCTTGTTGAAATATTTATTTGGGAACGAAAAAATTATTAACTCAATTAGAAATCGTCTTTGCTGTTATTTAAGGTTTGTAACTTGTCAACACAAACTTTATATTAGTCATTTTGATCACAGTTGTTAAATTGCCTTTTGTGTTAATGGATTACAAAAAATATCAGTGTAAATACACACATAATAAGTTTAAAAGTTAAACCAGTACCAATGCTAGAGCAACACTTAAAGCCCTCATCGGAATCCCAAATAAATATTTCACACAATGTGACATGTTTACAATAGCTTTCAACAATGAGTGCAGACCTAGTTGTTATTGATTGGGTTTATCTACATATGTAAACACGCCGTGATCAGATTAAATTTTTTTTTGAATGGTAACGGATTTGGAAATTTTGTTTAACTTTGATGCATAAAAGATTTTTAAAATAGACATGATTGAGTTATTGAGAATTTCTATATTATTAACATATACGTGCATATAATTGCGCAGAAGAGTGCTTGACTAGAAAGTCTCGCTGCCTTTGATGTATACATAATTTATGTATGTAAGCAATAGTTCTTAGAAATAAGGAATGTCGTTCACAGTTTCAATGAAACACGACAATCATATTTTCAGATCAGTTGCTTTACAATTACATCTTTTAACAATCTATCTTCTAGAGGTTTCCCTGGATGTATGGAATGTCTACATGGAATCTAATTCAATTATTTACTTGATTTTCGCTTTTAAAGTCAGTAAAAGTACATTTCACGGTAATTGGTTTTATGCAAAAAAGACGTTCACGCCATGTTACACGTGTTAGTGAAATTGATCCTTATTTCATTGCACCGAGTTTTGCTTTGGGAATAGGGCGAAGTTGCATTTATAGTAAGACTGTTTCTTGTCGATGTTTACAAGTGTGAATGCATTGGAGGTTGTCATTTAACCATGTTTTATTGTTAATTTTTTTAATCTGTAAACACATTTGCTACATTTTATCGAAACATCTTTTTACGCTTCCATTCGTATTTTGGGTTATATGAAAAGCTGTTTCACTTTTCAGGGATTTTGGTACTTGAGATAGTACACTACACTTTACTTTGAAATCTTACTAGCCGAATAGAATGAGTTTCACTTATTTTTAATTTAAAACGTAATAAATTTATTGTGAAAATCAGTGAAATAAAACTTGAAGTATGGTTATGAATAAAATGCTCTCTCTATTTAAATTACAGAAAGGTGCATCAGGGCTCAGGCGGGAGAAAGCGCCGATTCCTATAGCAGAGAGACCTGAATGGAACGACAGATACTGACAGTGTTTAAAAAAAAACTTGTCATTTTCATGCATTTGACCTTTCATCTTATTCATTCTGTTGAATTTTAATATCATAATAATTAGTGAAATGTTAAAATCAAATGTAATTTTGCTTGCCAAAGACGATATAGTTTGGAATTTTAGCTTGCGAGAAGGAGAATGTTGAGGATATTATATATATACATATGCATGTGTAAGTAATTGGCACGAAAAGTCAACGAATATTATGAATTAATGTACATTGTAAATTTACTGAAATACTCTAGAAATAATTAAATTTAAAATGAAATGATCGCTCACCTTTAATTTTGTTTAAAGGTACTTGGACACAGATTTGAAGTTAATTTTTTCTCTATAATATTACGACTTATATATTTTAATAGCATTTCACACAAAAATTAATTAAAAATCTTATTTCATTTAAAAGTTATTAAAATTTCAAATTTTTTGGCGCGTTTGATCGACACATTCTTGCACTTTCACAAATTTTAATTTTACTCTTAATACTTAGGAAAAGTGGCAATCTTGTTGTGTATAAATGAAAAATATTAATACTATAATCCAGAAAATTCAGAGTAGAGATGTTCGAAAGCAAAACAAACACACAATATATTCTCAGTCCGTGCAATTGTGATGAGCAGACTTTGACGATTGAAGCACCGGTGAATCGTAAACATCAACAATAACAGAGCTCGTTCCCTGTTTACAAAAACTGTGTACATAATACGAGTGTGATCGATCTGCACGCATCACTTAGCTCGGAATGACGATACTTGTGAAGGAGTTTTGCTTTCTAACATTTCTACTCTGAACAAAATTATTTTTGTGGATTAAAGTTTTAATATTTCTCATTAATACACAACAAGATTGCCACTTTTCCGAAGGATTAAGAATAAAGTTAAAATTTGTGAAAGTGCAAGGATGTGTCAATCAAACCCGCCAAAAAATGTGAAGTTTTAATAATTTTTAAATGAAGTAAGATTTTTAATTAATATTTGTGTCAAATGCTATGAAAAAATGTAATTTGTGATATTATACAGAAAATATTAACTTCAAATCTGTGTCCAAGTACCTTTAAACCTTCTAGTCGACATTCAAAGAGATACTTTTTCTGGTTGAACTTAATAACGATGCTTTTCCACCCGGATTTAAAAGAAATACTCTTCTCGATACAGTAAAAATGGTAAGTATCAGTGGCTGGTCCCTGCTGGATTCTTCAAAGGGATTTATTATCGATCCGGGAACATAATTATAATAAATGCAACAATATTAAATAAACAGTTTTTTAAATTTATAATTCGTAAATTTTTGGTCACAGAAGGGGGCTCCACTGAGAACATGTCCTGACAATATCTAAAAAGTTAACATGTACATGTTCTCCAAATGAAATGGGTCTATAATAAGCGACCAGAGTTTTAAATTTGGTATAAAAAAAGCTTTCAAACTATTTCTTGTCAAGAACAGCAAATTTATAAAGCCAGGAGTACTTTTATTAATGTGGAAAAATTCAGAGGCAGTATTGGCTCACGTTCTTCAAATCATAACCCCTCGATGGGACCATAATATGTCATGGTAAGTTGGGCAAATTTTATGGCACATAAGAAAAAAAATCTGCTCGTGAACAATGGGGCCAAAGACTAAGTGATTTAGGTCGGTGTTGTGTCCCACGGGCCTTTTTTTGTTGTTGGCTTCGTCTACGTAAATTTCATTTTTATTGAATTCAGTGTCATGTTTTTTTATTAAACTGAAATAAAAACAGCATCAAACTATTATCAAATTTGTCATATGTACATAGCGTAAAATAAACAAATGAACTTGACGATCATAGACTACTGGCGTTTAAAGTAACCAGTGTAGAAAAGTGAAGTGTTCACAAACGACAGACCTGTTTGATATACTCCTTTGCATGTTTTGTATGATGTTCCTTAATATTTCTTTCATTCCAACTTTACTGAAATAGAACTTAACTATAGTTAAGATCGAAAAGTTCAAAATTAGAGATCGCGGTAAATGGAATACCCTAAAATGATGTCTATAATTTCCTAGTAAAGAGCTTTTAAAATTCATTATATTTATTTTTGGCATAAAAAAAAATGAATAATTGTTTTGGGCTGAAATGAAAGTCATAAAAAATACAAAGGCTTTCTTTGAATATAAGTAAGTAAGTAAATATTTTATTATAGTGACATGTGTATACAGTTATTTTTAACATTCATTATACATAATATATGTTCTCAACACCCGGCCCATCGGACCTATAAGTCACTTTTAACAATTTATATACATTACAATTTACATGCGTGTGATTTTTCTTTGTCTTATATTATAGGCTTTATAAATAAAATTTGCAGATTGACGAGGGAAATGAGTTAACAGATATCTAAAGAGAACATTTAAATCAGTATAATGTAAATTTGAGATTCCAATATTTCTTAGAAAGTCCTGTCTACAGATTTTATATAGATTACATTTAAATATATATATAATTGAATATTATAAAAGAAAGAAAGAAAGATAGTCGATTATATAATTAAGTCGACTTATTTACAAGTTTTTAAATTGGCAAAGAACTTAGCTCATATTGCTGAACAAAGGAAATTTCGCACCAGCTAGATATTGAACTCTGAATTCTCCGGCGAAAAAATAAGTTATTCTGACATGGTATAGAATTTGAAAACAAAATAAACTTTATTATTGTGGTTAGAGTTAACTTGGTCTTAATAGTTTCTCTATACAATATATTTAGATTCCACATTTTATTCTACATGTACATGTATTTTTATAAAGTGCATCTGAAGCTCAAGCTCGGCATTAAAAAACACCTTTGCATGTGGATCATCAAAATCAAATAAGAGATATAACCTCATATTATGCAGGTAATAAGAGTATATTGCTACATAAGACCAGTAAGAGAAATTAAATTGCTGAAGAGTTGCAGAAATCATATTTATCATGAAATTAATAGTTGCTGTTTTACCACCATCAATCTATCGATATGTTGAGCGCGCCGTCCAAAATTTACAATTTATTAATATTATACAATGTACTTCTTAAAACCTGCAGTTTATATGCAGTAAAGCTTATAGCAAATTAAATATTTTTATTTAAGGATATTATTACTGTATCGTAAGCTGCATAGACGTCGGAACTTTAGGGGGGGGGTAGGGGCGCTTACTCCCCTTCTTTGTAAAGACAGACATAATATATGCATTGAAACTTGGAGATTACTCTCCAAACTTATTTTTTGGGGTGGTTAACATCTACTTTCAACCTCCCCCCCCCCCACTTTCTAGTTGTTTCTGACACCTCGGTATGAGCTGGATAGAATTTGTCTTTATAACTTTTCAGTTAGGTCTATTTGTTTTCATGTAATTTTTAAAACGAGTCTGTTAGGATTACAAGAATCGGTACATGTTACGATATAGGTTAGGCTATGGGTATGATCTAGGCCTATATGGGACAAAAAATTATACATTATTTTCATAAATAATAACTAATATTTACATTTCCAATGTCTTTGTCCGAGATAAAATTACAAATTGTAAATGTACTTTATTTCCCCGTCAATGTATTGGCGCGGTTCCAAAAAACCACGTGCAGGGCGGGACAAGCAGGGCTTGGAGCACGTGGTTTGGCGGAATCAAAGCATGTAAATATAAGGAATAACTGTCAGATTTTTCAGTTTCATGAAGATGATCAATCGATTGGCTTGCGTGATAATTTTATGCATTAACGCCTTCGGCGTATATGCAAATTATCACGCAAGCCAATCGATTGATCACTTCATGAAATCGAAGAATAAGACAGTTATTCCTTAAATATCTTGTCAGTGTGTATTTATATTTCCAAGAATAGCTGAATAGAAGATATGCTTAATTTGAATGATAAATTGAATTTAATGAGCTCGGTTCAGACAGGTATAAATAAAATAACATGATATGACCAGTGTTGAATGTCAAAATAAAAACTAAATTGATTTTTCCCGCAACTGTAGATTAAGATGGAGTTATCTGCCCATAGATGGCGTTGTTGTCGTGAGATATTACATGGCCGACATCTACATCTCTTCCTGTTCCTCTAGACTACTACAATGAAATGTATAGAAAGTAAGTGTTTCAAGAGATTTTTATCTATGTCAGTAATTCAGAGGGATAATAAAACTACCAAGAATGGTTGGAAAACTTATTAAATATGGAAATTTAAGTGATAGTTGAAGGCAGTTTGTGAATAAGGTATGTCAAGCAACAGGTAAAGAGCTTAGTTCTGTATTCAGGAAGGAAAATCAAAATTAAGTGCTTACTTCTTGAACCTATCAAAGGATTTTTTTTAGGTTGAAGTATATATCTGTTGAATTGTTGAATGTGCAGTGTTTCATTTTTTTTATTGTGATGTTATTATACTCAGTTACTGACAAGAAACACCCAAACGATAATCATCGTGTATATTTGGTTAGTATGTTATGTAATGGGAGAGGAGAAAAATGCATGCCCGAACTATTACAGTTATATATTGGGTGGTCAGACAGGTTTGATTGCTAGTGGCCAGATAACTCGTTTGATAGGGCACCTACATGTAACAAGAGATTCAAGGTAGAGGGGGGATGGGGGGTACCATTAGACGGAAATCAGAACCGCTCTGGTCTTTGTTTAATGCTTTCCTGTTACATTTGGTGCCATGGAATTAACAGGTGATGAAACCCCTGTAAAGAAAAATTCTGGACGATGTTTAAGGGAGACAAAGATCTTAAAGGGAAAATTGTGGAAGTGAAATAGGTTCAATTGATTGTCATTGCATGGTCATTGGTCAGATAGCTCAGCTGATTAGAGCACTGGACTAAAGATTCATTAGTCCCGGATTGGAATCCTGCATCTGGTCCATCACTTTTTTCTCTTTTCGTGTTACAGAAGTAAAGTGGTAATTCCTCTGTACATTCGTTAGTAATGTGTCTTTAAAGGATGTGTCATTTTCTGTAGATGATCATATGCTTGCAAATTTGCCCATAATGGTTGTGACTCTTAATAGGTCAAGAAGGTTTGAGAAGTATAGTCTGTGCATCTTTGTATATTTGTTATGATCAATTTATACTTCTATGAAAGTAAAGATTGTGGTATCGTTTCAGCAAGCAGAGGTCTTGTTCAAGAATCAACAAACTAAAACGTGTATACAATATTGTAACAATAATTTTCAAATTTGATGCATTAGTTGGGATATTGATTGCTTTCATTTTGTTCCACGGTTATAGGGTTGGGTGATTTGCTTGTTTCATGTTTATTTTAGGTGTTCACACGTGTCACAAACTATTCATCTTTATAGAAATTGAGGAAGTGTTTACCCTGATATGTCTCTTGACATAAGATCACTTAAGATTCCTCTGATCATAAATAATTTTTGATACAAGTATCTGAGTAATAAATTGTCTCAGACTGCATGTATCATGCAGATTGTTTATGAACATGATGAATGTAAAATTTTAGTTGTGTCTTTTGTTGTCCTTTATTTATTAATTTACATTAAAAAAAAAAAAAATTTCAAGTGATTTGTTAATTATAAATTAGGGTTAATTAAAAATTCTGGTCATGTTTGTGGCAAAGTACAAGGCTAGTCTTTCATTTACTGAGTATTTTTTTTTTTATTTTAGCACATTATTGAAATGTTACTCACAACATATTTATCAATACACTGTAGGTGTAATTAATAAACATCGGATCTGTTTGATGCATTGATAATGATTAGTAATTATCATTACAAATACAAAAGGAATGCATTGATTTTATGTAGATATATGTTTACAAGCATACATGGATAATTATAACACACATTTCACATTATATAGGATTGGAGATCTATCTAGCCTGAAATTGAGTTTCATATTAAATGAATTGACACATATAAGTCTTTTTTTTTATGCTTATGACTTACTTCCATTTCGCCCGTTAAAGGTGCTTATAGAACACAGATTTGAAGTTATTATTTTCTCAAATTTTGAAGGATGTGTCAATTGAACCTGGCCAGAAATTCAAAGTTTCGATAACTTTGAGATGAAATTAGATTTTTATGGTATATCTTAGTGTGAAATGCTACTGCAGTATATAAGTTGTCATATGATACAGAAAATTTGAGAAAATATTAACTTCAAATCTTTGTCTAAGCACCTTCAATCAAATGAATTATGAAAGGTTTGTTTTAGGAATTGAGATTCTTTGAATTACATTTTTGAGGGTACAGAGTATACTGATTTAAATCACACTACTTATAATCCAACAGTCAGAAGTTTGAAATTATGGATCTGACATTAAAAAAAAAAACAGACACAAAATGCACTATCAGAATAAGGAAGTATTACAATGACAGTACACTGTTGGGGGAGGTGAAGGGAATATACAGATACACCTGGTACAGACACTTCCTCCTCTACTTCCTGCTTACTTGACCAGACTGGCATGTTCTTTCTTTTCTTAGAAATCAAATTTCCGAAATGTGTTTCCCTCCTCCATCCTTATACAAATAAATGCCATAAAGTTTTTTTTTTGTAAGACCAGTGCATTGTAATTCATGCTTAGATTTCAAGTACTAAGTCACGATAAGCATTAAAATAGAACATGAGATGTACTGTTGTTGATACACTGACATAGGAAACAAAATGGAGTTTTGTAGGCTATATTACATCACTGGATCAAGAAATCAGTATATTTCTGTGTATTCTTTAATGTCCTTTTTGAGAGGGGGAATTCCTGTTATATGCAGCAATTGTAGTTAGTATGTACATATGTATTATGTAATACACTGATACTACACAAATGATTTTGTTGCTGTATAAAAAGTATGATTTGTGTATTGTAGGTTGTGTATGGAATGTATCATAACACAGTGATCAACAGATGACAATGCCCATGGATCAGAATAATCAGGTAATAGACCAATCCACACTTTAAAAAAGTTGTGTCCCTTTGTAGATTTCTCCTCTTTATTACCAAACATTTGGAAATGTATGTGTTTAAATTGTTTTCTTTGGATGTGTGGGTAGCCCCAACATGGGGCAATCAGTATAGAGAGACAAAGTTACAAACCTGAAAACTACAAAGGCTACTGTGAGGATTCACTTTCTTTTTGAAAAGTGTGGATTCAGCTATACAAAGTGCAGATATTCAAGGAAATATATTAGATTTCTTGAGAGAGAGAGTCTGACAGTCACTTTCTTTTAAAGTGTAGATCTGACTAGATCAATTGAATAAAATTTTAGGATTGAATTTCAATACACATTGCCTTAATCTTTAAACATGCTAAAAGAATAAATGGTAAAGCTACATATTAAATTGACCCTGCAGATATGTTTCAACTTTCCCCTCAAAAATCTTGTCACAAAATACTTTCTGTGTCCTAGGTAGAGGTTGATGTAAAAGAGTATGACACTATGCAATTTTAACAAGGAGTCATTAAACCATAAATATTGTAGTATGATCGCAGCATAATCTTTCTTAATTTTGATATACACTTGTTAGAAAACACATTTGAAATGTCCAGTATGTGCTTGTGTTACAAATGATTTTACTGCATTATGGTTTTATGGCGGTCAGTTAGATGCCAATAAACCTTTTGATTTTTGCTTCTAACAATCTGTTGAAATTCTCTGTCAGCAGCATCATGAGACATGGCCAAAAGGAACTCAGGTTGTGGCAAATTATAACTTTGATGGATCTTCACCAGATGATTTACCATTTAAAAAAGGAGATGTGATAACTATTGTACAGTCCACAAGGGTAAGTTAGCTCTTATTTTTCACAGAAATGCACTAAGTGGGTAAGAATCTACTTAGCTTTTGATAAAATCCATGTTTTAACTATAAATATAAATTAAAGGGTGATGATTGTAAAAATTACCCTGTAATTGTATACTGTTCACAGTGATTCATGACACTTTACTTTTGGAAGAAAGTTACTTGGTATTTATATGAACAAAAATTGTTCTCTATGAATTCCTGATATTATTGCATATAATCTCTAATAATAATTATATTAAGCTAATTTAGTTAATCATAAATTGCAAAAACTTTAAAGGTTCTTGAGATACAGACAGTAAATGAAAGTTTTGAACACAAAATGTATGAATTTATTACCTTGACCTTTTGATCTAAAGATCAATAGGGGCCTTCCTTATGCCATAGGGAGTTGTAGTATAAAATTTCACTGGAAAAGATCGAAGGCTTCCCAAGTTATAATGCAGAAAGGAAAGTGTTAAAACAGACAGAATTTATGACCTTGATCATTGACCTTTTAACCTCAAAATCAATAGATGCTTAGGTCAAAGGGAATTGTGTTAAATTTCATTGCAAAAACTCAAAAGCTTCTCAAAATATCGTGCGGAAAAAGTAGTGTTACAGACAGAAATACAGACAGACAGCTAGACGGAAAGTCAAGTGAACAGACAGAAATTAATATCCCCCATTTTCATTGAAAGCAGGGGCAAAAAAAAAAAAAAGATGGTATTGCATAATTATGTGAAAATATAGTTTTATCAAGTACAAACTCAAGTAATTTGCAGTATAATGATATGGTTAAGTTTGCAAGCTTTGCTTCGCAATGCTTGCTGTGCTCAGTATTACTATTACCAATAGTTGATATGATGCAAATAGAATGGATCTTAATAAAAAAAAATTTCTTTTCAAATTTTTAAATACTTACATAAAATCCATGGAAGAAAACTTTGTATTGATAATTAAATGTACATGTATGTAGTGAAGAAATGGTATTATGATTTTAAAGAAGAAGAGTAATTTTATTTTTTCCTTTCTTCAGGATCCAAATTGGTATAAAGGAAGAAATGATAATGGCAAGGAAGGAATGGTGCCTGCCACTTATGTACAGAAAAGGAAAGAAGTTCACTTACAGGCAATGCCGTGAGTACTCTGTCTGTGTGTCTGTAGCAGTAGAAGTGACAGGTCAATGAATGTAAAAAAAAAAAAAAATTACACGCCTGAGTGAGTCATGATATTGTGACTCAATAACTTTTCTTAAGTATCTCATAAAGGGTATTCCCCCCTAAGCTAGGTTATAAAGCTAGCAAAATAATATGGTTTAGAAGAGTTGCCATATTTAAACAGGATAAAGTCATTTTTTCAGACACCTTATCTCTGTAGAGAAGACAGAAATAACGCCCGAAATAACTGTTTATTTTAAGTTATAGTTCTGAAATTTTTGACATGAAGTAAAAAGATGATCAAAACATATGATTTCAAAAATTTGATAATTTTGAAATGGCAATATTCTGTTTAAAAAAGAATGAATGAAAAATTATGATAATGCCAGTTGCAAATTTGCAAATCCTTTTGCTGGTGTTTTTTCAGTTGGTATCACGGTAAAATCTCCCGAGAGGAGGCCGAGGCCCTGTTAAATAATTTCCGTGAGGAGGGGGACTTCCTTATTAGGGACAGTGTCCATTTTCACGGGGACTATACACTGTCCATTTACTTTGAGGGTCTGGTGGACCATTATAGAATTATTGCTAAAAACAACAAGTTGGAAGTGGATGGTGGTGACTGTTTATTTGATAACTTAATACAACTTGTGGAGGTACTGTAACACAGACTATAAAGACACAGTAGAGGGAGAGAAACACAGGCTACAATATACAGGGGGTTTTTGTGTTGTGCGTTTATGGGGCAATTTTTCTTAATTCATGTTAGAGGAAGTTTTAAGGTACATGTATTGATATCTCTTATGTTGTGATAAGATAAAAAGTTCAGCACAGGCAAGTTTTAGTGTAATTTTGAACATGTTCAAGTAGGATGCTATTTTATGGAGATAACAAGAAAACAATATCTGCTAAAGGAAATAAAACAAACAAAAAAATCACACAAATATGTATCCAAAAGAATATTACATGCACAAGATGATATGTAAAGGAAAGCATGCTCTGTAGATAACAAAACACAATAAATGTACATATCCTATTTTTATAAAGAATGACCTAATGTGGGTAATGGCCATTATGGTGTGTATTGAATTGGGTTGGGTACATCTAGGACTGCATGTTACATGTAGTTAGGTGTAGACATGACTGTGTGTCCTCTACTAATTTCTATTAGGCTTGAACTGTTAATGACTAAGACACAATTTATGGTTCTTCTCAGACAATATTGGATATATTCTGAAAAGTTTTTTTTAAAAAGTTCATATTTATCGTAGGAAAAGAAAGAAAAAATAACTGTTTACCCAAAAACCATGTCATATCTCATCATTTTCAAATGGTTGAGCAAGTTTTGAAAGAATAAACTCTAAGGTTTAGTTTTTATGTAACATAAGTATATAGACTTGTTGATAAAATTTAATTAGAGAAGAGAAGAAATTAAAGCACTAACTTTGACATCAATTTACAAATTATTTATTAATGTAATTGTATATGTTAGTAGATGGCATTGACATGTGTTCTTGTGAAGACAGCTGATACATGTCAGTTTTAGGCTATAATCATGATGTAAACAAATTCTTTCCTATACACACATTGACATAAGTACTTTAAATTTATCTCATACAAACTCAGGAAATTATTAACATTTTACACCACAGTAATTATAGAGATGAGATTAGAATAGGAAACAAATCGTGTAAGAAATAGGAAATGATTGAGCATCAAGATTTTTATGAGGATCAATATATGTTTGAAGATAGAGATCAGAATTACAGGGTATAGTAATTATTACATAGGAATTTGTAGTCCTAGGGTGGGTATGATAGTACACATGCCTTTAAGACATAGATTTGTGTAAGAGCCTGTTTGATAGTGTGGTATAGTCTGTATTAACCAATACTGATGACTCAGTCTGGGTCATTAGTTTGACTTGGCT